ATTAAGTGTTAAGTGATTCACTTAATTTTAATATTAAGTGTTAAGTGAAAACTTAATTTTAATATTAAGTGTTAATGAATCACTTAACACTTAATATTAATGAATTAAGTGTTTCATAGAAAAAACTTAACACTTAATATTAAGTGTTAAGTGATAAACTTACACTTAATTTTAAATTAATGTAAATGGTCCACCCCTAGTTATTATATGAATAAAATGAGTTATTTCTTTAGATATTGGAGCTTTAACTGTTAATAAACCTGATGCTAAATTAGCTATTCTACCCATAACTGAACGATCACCTTTATGAATAACAATACCTTTAGCTGTATCTATTCACAAATTAAATATTTTTTTTCAAATATTTAAATAATAAACCAAACCTTCAACAGCAAATGTATTTAAAAAAGCTAAATTTTTTGTTTCTAATGGATTTTCATGTGTTATTTCTTTTGTACGAGTTTGAGGTTCAGATTCTCCAGTTAATGAAGAATTATCAACTTTAAAACCATGAGCTTCTAATATTCTTATATCCGCTATTTAATATAAATAAAAATAATAAAAAAATGAAAATTATAAAACAAACCAGGTACTCTATCACCAAATTTAATGTCAACAATATCACCAACAACTAAATCCTCTATTCTAACACTTTTACTTTCTCCATTTCGAATAACAATTGCTTGCTATTTTTATTTATATTAACACAAATATTTATTCATTTATATACTTACTTGTGGGTCCGACAAAATCCAACCCTTCACTTCCACGTAGTGTCGGATGTAAACGTCAACTCTGACGGCAAAGATGGGCTCTGGTAAGGCTCTCAGGGCTAGTCACCCGAGATGCCTTTTACAATGACTTCGAAAATAACAATAGAAGAACCCATTCCGGGCAACAGTCTCTCGCTTCGTCGCCAGCAAACGGAGATTTCGAAGAAATCTACGACCATGATAAGGCAGTCACCTGTCTTTGACATTGCAACGACGAAACCAACCAAAAACCAAAAACAAAAAACAAAAACAATCCACAAGGCCATCACAATATCAACCTACAACGTTCGCACACTCAAAAGACTTGGCAAATTACACCAACTCATACACGGATGCAACGACAATAACATCGATCTGGTAGCTGTACAAGAACATCGTTGGCAAACACACGGACAAACCGGCACCTACATCGAATCTTGGAATAATTCAAAATGGCGCTTCGAATACTCCTCAGCAACACCAACAGGCCAGGGAGGCGTCGGCCTACTCATGAATCCACGGTTCTCTACACTACACTCTTCAACCGAAAAAATATCCGATCGAATCTTAATCGTACACTTCAAAACCAATCCTGCAATAACGATCATCGTTGCATATGCGCCCACAGAGGACAAATGTGACGCTGATAAAGATGCGTTCTACGATGATCTACAAAAATGTACATTAGATGTTCCACCTCACAATGTTCTAATTCTCGCCGGTGATCTAAATGCAAGACTCGGATCCGACAGCCACTTAACCAATCCACGAGCAATTGGCAGACACACATATCACAACACAACAGACGACAATGGCTATAGATTGGTCAACTATTGCGAAGCATGCAACATGCGATCGACACAAACACGCTTCCCTCAACCAAAATCACGAACTTGGACCTGGCTACACCCCAATGGCAAATCAACAGCTCAATTAGACCATATCCTCATCAACGGGAAATGGTTAAACTCAATTCGAAATGCTCGCGCGTACAACACGGTCGAACTACATTCCGACCATCGAATAGTGAGTGTAAAAATGTCTATCAGCCTACGAGCACCAAAAAACAACAAATGCCAACGCATCACATACGACTGGACCAAACTAAAAAACAACTGCAGTCTCCAATCTCAATTCAACATCGAAGTCCAAAATCGTTACGACGTCCTCAACGCAAACAACCCCGACAACAACAACATACAAACAGAATATGACAATTTCATAGAAAGTATAAAACAAACAACAGAAAAACTAGTCGGACAAACAAAACAATCAATCAAAAAGAACTGGGTCTCGGACGAAACCATCAACTTTTTGAGAAAACGAAACAAAGCCAAAAACATATTCAAACAAAAACCAAACCCAAACAACAAAAACAACTGGCATCAACTCAACAAACATCTCAACGCATCTTACCAAAACGACAAAATCCAATTCCTTGAAGACAAACTTGAACAATTGAATCAAGCCGCAATCTCAAATCAATCAAGAACCACGTGGAACCTCATAGATCAAATTAGTGGAAAACGTAGGTACAACAACACCACAAAGATCAAAAGTACAAACGGTTCTAAAATCAACTCAACCGCAGAATTGATGAACGAATGGAAACGATACTTTGAAGAATTACTCAACATCAAGCCAAATACATCTCCAACCACACAAACAATTCTACCAGCCGACAAAGATCTTCCAATCAACACAGGCCCAATTTCGACCGACGAAGTACAACAAGCAATCAAACAGCTAAAAAACGGAAAATCTCCCGGACTCGATCACATCATAACACCAGAAGTACTCAAATACGGCGGCGATTGGATCGTTCACAAGCTATGCAATATATGCAACGAAATATTCGAAAATCAAACAACACCAACACAATTCAACACCAACATCATCATCCCTATACCAAAAAAGGGAGATAAAACTCTCATGTCGAACTACAGAGGTATAAGTCTCATGTCTGTTGCAGCCAAAACATACAATCGAATACTTCTAAATAGAATACGGGAACCGCTTGATTCAATTCTTCGAATAAATCAAGCTGGCTTCCGGAAAGGAAGAAACTGCATAGACCAAATACATACAATACGTCGTATACTAGAAGGTGCAGTGGATAAACAACTACCAATCTACATCACCTTCATAGACTTCAAAAAAGCCTTTGACTCTATTGAAAGAAAAACAATGTTTGATATTCTCAGGCATTATGGAATACCAACGAAAATGATCAACGCAATTCAAACTATATACAACAACTCACGAAGTGCAGTTCTGGTGGATGGTCAACTCACAGAAGAATTCGACGTTACTACCGGTGTTTTACAAGGTGATACATTGGCACCATTCCTCTTCATTATTGTAATCGATTACGTCATGAAAAATGCGGAAACACAACACACAAATGAACAAGGTAAACATGGATTTTTAACAAATCAACGACAATCAAAACGACAACCAGCAACAACAATTCACGATCTAGCCTTTGCTGATGATATCGCTCTGTTCGAAAGTAACTTCGACAGAGCACAAACACAATTGATCACAACGACGAAATGGGCCGATAAAGTAGGCTTACAAGTCAACATCAAAAAGACACAAGCACTAACAAACCAAAATACCAACAACAAATCTATGCAAATAAATGGAGAAGACATTCAATGGGTAGACAATTTCAAATACCTTGGCTCAATGGTACTCTCAAGCAACACAGATATCAAAGTAAGGAAAGGGTTAGCATGGAAAGCTTTCTGGAAATTGCGAAACATATGGAAATCGACAATAATACCTACGAAGCTGAAGATTAACATCTTCAAAGCTTCTTGCATTTCGATTTTACTATATGGCTCCGAAAGCTGGATCATCACAAAAACCCTTGAGAAGTCCCTAAACAGCTTCGCTACTAGCTGTTATCGAATAATACTCAACATTAAACGATTGGACAAAATATCAAATAACACAATCTACGAAAAAGTGAAACAAGAACCCCTGGTACAAACAATACAACGTCGACAACTGCGCTTTATTGGACATTGCCTACGCCGAAACTCAAATGAATTTACCAACATGTATGCTCTGTACACTCCGAAACCTGGCCATGGAAAACGTAAGCGTGGACGACCCCGCTTGAAATACGTTGATTACGTCGCAAGACTGATCAACAATGACAATCCACCAACGATCGAAGAAATCAGAAAGGCTGCTGCAGACAAGAAAAGCTGGTACGATATTGTTATCGCCTGTAAACCGCGTCTGTTTGCAGTCGACTGATGATACTTACTTGTGGAACACTGAAATAAATAAATAGACAAATCTTTTGTCTTTTTTTTTTTTTTAATTTAAATTTCTCTTACAGATTTTTGCATGAATCCATTATTCTTGAACTTTTAGCTTCTTGATAATAAGAAAAACATCCTGTTATTACAACAACAACAGTTAAAGCAACACCAAGCCATAACTAAACGAACGTTTTTTTTTCTTTGTTGTATATAAAAAAATGAATAATTAAATAAAACAAACATTATCATTAGGTACTTCACCATGATATGTAGCCACTGTAATACCATATGAAGTAAAACAAAGAACAGCACCTATCCAAAGAAGAAAAGCAAAACCACCAAACATTTGTTTACAAAATTTTATCCATTCAGGTATCGTTTTTGATGGAGTTAATGTATTTGGATCATCACGATTAAGAATTTCTCTAACTTTAACATCTGTTAAACCCTAACAATTCATTTATACAATTATTTAACAGAAATTTTACTTTTTTTTATTTCTCTTACTATTATAGGATCGGTTTTTATATCTTTGAAAAATTTCTTCAAAATCCAATCGATGATCATCCTAAATTTAACTTTACATAGAATTATTCAAGAACAATTATATTAACAAGATTTTTCAATAACAATATATTAAACATAATTAGTTACATTCATACATTTCAATACTTTTACCAATTTCACTTCAAATTTTTTTTTTGTATAACTCTTTAGAAAATCTTATTCAAATTCCTCTAACCTCTTCAAAAAATAACTTTAGTTTTATAAATCAATAGGTTTTTTATTGATACTCAACATCATTCAACTGCAAAACATCTATATCTTAACCATCTACCGAACATCTTAATTCAATTTGTTTTTATAAATATAAGAGAGACCATCGAAAGACAACTGGCCAGCATGACCTCGCATCATATCACGTAACTCATCTTTATCAGTAGGTTTATCATTTTCATCAATATTAATAATTTCATCATGTGTAAAGTTTGATCGAAGACGAAGTTGAATTTGTACTTCAGGTACAAGCAGAAATACTCGAATCTTATGCTTTGATCCTTCATCGATAGGAACTGTTTGACCTTAAAAGTATAAGTATGAATACTCTGATATATATGCATTTATATCCGCTACATTTATGAGATTTTTTTTATATCCAAAGAACTTCTTATAAAAGAGATTGCAAAGTATCATCATTTAATGAATCATAAGTAAATTAAGATCGATAATCTGTATTAACAACATTCAATTTTTTTGAAAATGAGTAATTTTAAACAATTTTTTCGTGAATTAAGAAAAAGATATTACATCATAATTTCATATGTATTCAAAATTAGTTTAGACAGCAAGAAAAAGGATGATATTAAAATGTCGCTTTTTTTTCTCATAAAAAAAGACGAATCGTCTATTTTTCGACGATCGAAATATTGTACTTAGGAACTATGAATATGAATATAGTAAATTTCATTTTATTTAATAATATATTCAATTTATTGATCTGATTTAAATCATGATATATTGTACTATAAATACTTGATAAAAGTTTTACACATTAAATATCATTCAAACAAAAATATATAGAAAGTTTTCATAAATTGACTGTCATCGAGCGCCCTCTTTTCATTTATTCTTTACGAAAAAAGTTTGAATGCGCATTCTGGAAAACCATTCAGAATTTTCTACATTTGATATATTTTTTTTATTGAAAAAAAAATACATGGAAGATATATTTATCTCAATGTGCGAACAGACAGACAATATGTTTCTTTTTTCGTTCGTTCAGTTCATCTCGATTCTTGTTATTTCCTTAGTTAGTTTATGTTATGGTTATTCATTATATGAAAATAAACCATGATACGTCCTAACAGTGTTAAACATGAAAAAAACAATGAAAGAAATGATTTTTAAATTTAGGCTTTTTTTCTTTTTTAGAATGGAGTCTTCAAATCAAATTGAAAAATTTCAATTTTCAAATCAATTGGATATAAAGGAACAAATAAGTCAACACTCTAAGTTAAAATGTGTCGGATGTGTCGTGATTCACAACACATTTCACGACACATTCGAGCACGACACGAGGTGCTCGTTACGACACATTTTCTCCAGTAAGCGTACGACACATTATCCCACGACACATTCTGAAATTAGTGTTCGAATCTGGGTTTCACCGTATTCATAATTTTTTTTTCTTTCGTGCATTACATCTATCAATATTTAATTAGCGCAATTAGCATCAGTGTTTGATGCAACAGTGTAAACCAGTCAGATCTTGGTCGGACTGTTGCCAGGTAGACCTCTATTTAGGTGAGGTCATTATTTCTCGAACTATTTACAAGAAATATATAATCGAGAAACATATTATATAGAATGGTGCACGAAAACTTATGATTTTCATGTGATGGTTCAGATCGATTATATACAGATATACAGACAGAACAAAATCGGTGAATGAACAGTCGTCATATATGTACAGAACGGTTAAAAATACGACACATAAATGTGCGACACATTTTCTTGCTGGAACCCACGACACTATAATTTACGACGGAAAAAGTCGACGCATTTTAACTTAGAGTGAAAAATGGATTAAATTGTTAGGAAGTAATTATGAAATCCAAATTAGTGATATTTATAAACCACCTGATGGTCGTCTCGGTATATCGCTTCACAGTGTAAGTTATTTAGGAGATGATGATGAAATTTATACACATAATTATATACATACTGTATTATCTGATGAAATTGTTGGACTTGATGGAAAATTAAAACGTGGTGATGAACTTTTAGAAGTAAAAAAAATTTATTCGATTTTTTTAAATCTATTTCTTCTTCTTCTTCTTCTTTTAAGGTTAATAATAAAATTTTATATAGAAAAGATGATACGTATGTTATAAAAATTCTTAAATCTGTTAAACATCAAATAAAACTTGTATGTGCTCGTCGTAAAATTCAGCAATTTAATGAAATAAATCCAAAAACAAATCCAAAACGTTCTCGTTCAACATCATTTGATAAAACAACTGAAATTGTTCATAAAGCTAAAAGTATGGAAACATTACATTTAACAGATGATATTTTATCTATTAGTAAAAGAAAAACAACAGCACAAACAACGAATAATCATAAAGTAAGAATTTTATAAATAGATATTTAAATTTTATGTAAAATTATATATTTTTAAAGTCGATGTTTTATTATTCGAATTGAATAAATAACAATCGAGATAGACTAAACTCATATTATATTTCCGGTCCTATTATACGAGATTTTTACAATTTATCAAATAAATACATATGTATTTTTC